CCACCCCCCATCTTCCGACTCTTCCGTGTCCTTGAAATGCCGCCGTGTGCCGCATGTGCGGCGCGTCCCAGAGCACCATAGGTTTTGTATTGTCCTGTCCTTGGAACGCTTTGGTGTGGCGCGGCGAAGGTCTCCGCGAAGTGCGTGGGTTCTCCCCAGCTCCGGAGCGTTTCCATTAACAATTGGTGAGGCTGGGGGGGAGGAGGAGGACGTTGATTCACCGGGGAGACGGGGCAGTGGCGCGTGGAGTTCCCTCTCCTTAAACCTGTTCGTACTTGCTCCGCGCCGCATCTGCTGCCCGTGAAATACCCAGGTCTTGCGAGACAGACTGGGGAGGGCAGTGGGCAATGGCCGTCATGATGGGATACGCAAGAGGAGGTGGAGATTTTTCTCTTCTGTTTCTATGGGATGCGTCTAGGATCTGTAGAGCTTCATCTTTGTATAGTTTTCGAGGAAGATGCGGGAATTCGTGTAGTACCCGTAAAAGTCGGGATTTGGATGGTGCTTTGTCTTGTAAAAGCAGTTCGGAGGCGACAGCAGGAAGCTGTTTCTGTGATGTGAGGCCATAGTAGCTTTAGGTGTCTTTTTGATCTCGGGGAAACGTAGGTTGTGTTTGACTTTGCAAAAAGTTTTTTTAAAAGCACCAGGAAGGTGAGTGCTAAAATGTATATTTTCTGTATTAGTGGGTATACTCTTTAAAATGCTTTTATATTCTTAGAAGAGTATACTTCTCACAGTAGCTCTCAAGAAGGTATTATCCTTGTGCAGATTTTATGAGGACTGAAATTCTGGGACCTTTAAAATTCTGTGCAAGGAACCCCCTGAAGTTGTTGCCCAGAGAGTCCTCAGGCAGGTGCAGTTTCCTTCCCCCTTGTGATGAAGAGCACTTTCAATTCTTAGCTTTCCTTGGAGTGTGTTCTTTGCAGATAAATGTCACTTAGGTTTCATTGTATTTTATGTTTTGCACACTAGTGTTCGTGTTAACTGTACTTTATAGACATCTGTGAAGTGATTATGCACGGAGTTTAAACCATGGTTTGCAAGATAGCATCTGGAGCATGCAGATACTTTCAAGTGACATTTTTCCTGGTCTTTTTCTTCTCTTTCTCCAAAATATAGTATAGGAGAACAAGAGGAACTTCGTTTTTAATGCTGTTGTCTTCAGCAACAGCTGAAGTTGGTTTTGTCAAACCAAAAACATAAACAGAAATATAACAGGTTTATTACTGTTACGGAAGTTTGTCATATTAAACTTTACTTCCAACAGGATTTGAGTGATGTAGGTCCATCTAACTCTTAAATAATTAAAACTTTTTTGCTTATTATACATAGCAAGACAGTAAATGATCTCTTTATGGAGGCACTTAGATAATTTAGATACTTGAAGTTAGCTAATAGTTAACATTGATTGGATATGTCTCAAATATGTAGCATTTATTCCCAGAAATATTAAATGGTAATGTTAGTTGTATTTATGAAGCACAGTATGAAAATACATGAACTAGCTCTGGACAAGCTAGTACACTTTAATGTGCAGCATGTTGTTATTAAAGCTGTGTAAAGATACTGGGTTAGGTCCTAAAGATAGGTCAGTCCCAGCTCTGCTCTACAGGGCTAATTGCTCTTTCTGGGCAAGGCTAATTAATGCAGCCAGCTTCCAGTTTTGGAGCTGGTTCACGTGGCTGTGCAGTATTGCTGAGAACAGTACGGCGTTCGTGTAAGCATACTTCAGTGCTACAGACAAAATTAGTGTAGACTTATGGAAGATATGTATTATCACAGATTAATATAGCGCTCTTAGGTCATAATTCCAATGTCCCAGTTGTTAAAACATTCAGGTGATCCTATATTAATGTTGTTTACATAAAACCTGTGCCCTATAATCTAAGGTGTGGGATTGTGAGAGTTTGCAAAATGTGTAATTGCCTTTGAAGCCTTAGCACAAGTATTATAGAAAGAAAGGAAAAAGATTCTGCCATTAAGCCATCCATTTCAGTAGAACTTGTACTTTTAAGGCATTTGGCCGTAGCATCTCTTTGGATGTTAACGGCCATTTGGCTTTTTCTGACTTGGTAACTCCAGCAAATCTGTTGTACACGCTCCTAGTGTGCTGGGTGTATTAAACTCTTGGCAAATGGCCCTTTCAGGTGCTGCACCTCTCCGCTGTGGTTTTGTGGAGAAACAGTTGATTGTTGGTAGCTCCTAATTTTTTTACTAAATTTTTCCAGACCATGTCTAATTAGTGTAATCACAAACTGTAATTAAAGTGATGAGGTTGCATCTTCATCAAAACAATGCATGGAGACGATTGAGAAGTCCTTCTGATGAAGAGAGTTGCTGCCTTTAGAAGGTGCTGGGTACTGTTGAGAAGCTCACTGCAGAGCAGGCTGAAGGTGCTGGTGGGGGAGACAGTTCACTTGTTTCACTGATGACCTTGTGGTAAATGTGCTTCCTAAAGGGCTGTCTTGGATACATCTGAAGTGTTTGGAGCCAAAGAGAGCACGTTTTATTCTTTGACATCTCTGCTTCCCAGCCAAGGGAGGAAGAAACCGTCCATCCACTTGAGGCAGAACTGAGTAATTGAAATAAACAGTGGCCAGAACTCTGGAGGGCTAAGGAGCTTCCGACTCCATGCCTCATGCTCTGCGTAGGGGTATTTGCAATTAATGCGGTCTGCCAACAGTCCAATTCCTACGCTGAAAAAGTGTGGTACGGTAGTATTAGCATGTTGTTTCACATAAAATAAATGTCTTGTAAACCATTTGTGCCCTTTATAAATTGTTCTTTTATCTGACTTTTTGCAGTTGTTGCAAACTACAATTAGAAACGGTAGTGTTAAATGACATGAGGCGTTGTGAAAGCTGAACTACATATTTGAAAATGTAGGGCAGTGAATTGTCTGTTTGCAGCGGTTAAGTCTGGAGAAGGTTTGGCATGCTCAGCGTGGTGTTCTAGCAGAAAAGGTTGCTAGATAATACGATCAAATTGCGTACAGTGCCCTCCTTGTAGTGATGATGGAGACGAGGCAGGAAGCAATCTACTGTAGTGACCTTTTTGCAGTCGTTAAATAATTTAAATTTGAACCGTATGACAGCTAGGTTGTATCTGTTCCTTAGTACTGAATGGGTTTAGCCAGATTATTTTCTCTTTGTGGTTCCATTTTAAATGTGCAAAGCGAAGTAGTGTGGTGGGCACATGGTTGTTGGGGGCCTGGGGCAGCCTTTGCTGTAGCCAGAGGAGGCTGAGAGGTGCTGGGGGGTAACCTGGAAAGCAGCAGGGAGCCACGGGCTGCTCCACGGCTTCCCAGGGCCTAACTGGGGGCTGGAAGCTGCTCCCAGACTTGTCCCCTTCTGCTGGTTTCACCAGGGTCTGCCTGTTGGTCCTCAGGCAGCTCAGCAGCTTGTTAGGACGGAGCTATGTAGCTACTTTGGGTTTAGGAGGTGTTGTTTTGTTCTGTTCCTAGCTTGTGGGTTGTTGTTTTGTTTGTTTATTTTTGTTGTTTTCTTACAATTATTGTTGCTAATGGCTCTTACAGTGTGAAGGTGCTACTATCAGACTTCAGGGGGGATGAGTTAAATCTGGCTGGTGAATTTTGGGATTTTTTGATGAAATGCCACAGGCTTCTTTGGTCATAAGCAATGACTCACAAGTAACTTGTTTCCTTACTTTCATGATAAGATCTGTAGGACACTCAAGCTTTTAAAGAATTCTTTAAATGCAATTATAATTAAAACAATTGTGGTTATTTGCAGTTTCTAAACTAATTTGCAAGGAACCAAATAACTAGAATTCCACTGCAAGATCTGGTGCTTCTTGTAATAATGCTGTTAAATACCGCATCCGTGTTCTGCTACTTGAATTTTGGTGGGTGCTTTCAAGTATTGTGGAAATACTTTATGGTACTTTCTTGTGAAACTTAATTGTTGATTTTTTTTTCTGTTTTGATTTAGAGCATGTATATCTTTAGGATCTAAGACCCGGGCCATTGGGAATGCAGCAAAGAGCCAGGTAAATGGATCGAAACCTCTCATATTACTTATCTGACTTGTCTCCTGTTGAACTGTGGGAAGTAATGAATAAATCTTGTATTTTTCTGTTTTAAAGTAATTTTTTTACAATGTGTACATTTCACAGTAATAGTTGTTGCTTCAAGTGTATATTTCCTGTACTAAAGTTGAAATGCTTTGTGCATTGTTTTGTCATTCAGAGAGACAGAAAACCTTGTTTACCCAGTAAAAGAGGATTATTTTTCTTGCTTTCTCATGACATCATTAAATTTCATCATTAAAGCTCTATTGAGAGCAACAGGGAGGAGTACCATTCTTATGTTTTAGAAAAGATGAAACTGAAGTCGAACAACAGAAGTTTGGTTATAGATACTGATGTTGCTGATGTGTAATGAATGCATCTTAGTAATTTACTGTCTCAATTTGAAACTTAGAACAGAAGTTCTCTAATCCTCTGGAAATTCACTTGCAGGCTAGGAAAACGTTTCTTTGGTAGGAAAAATATGTAAAAAAACTTAATAGCCATCTACAAATAAAATAGCAATCTACAAATTAAAAATCAGGTCGTACCCTCTTTGTTTGCATGCATGCATCCTGTCAGCATGCTGAGAACTTTCTTCTGCTTAGCATGGAACTTCCTTCCCCTTAGGATGGCCTGTAGGTAACTGGGAATTTGCCTGGCGGATATAAAGGTATCAGAGCCCACTGGCAGTGCTGTGAGCAGTCAGTATATGCAGAGGGTGTATCACTTTCTCAGAAACTTTACACTATTTATCAGGTTATGCCTGAACTTAGCTGGTGGGAATGTGTCCTGTTAGTCCTCTTCCCAGCTATGAAGTTTGTTATTTAAACACACAAACTAGACTAATTTTATCTTGGAGAAGATTACTCTGAAGTAATTTCTTTCGATAGCTTAAATATTACGTTCGTTGGGATTTATTTATTGTGATCCTTTCTTTACTTAAAAGTCTGTCCTTCAAGTAATTAGGTTGAAGCACTGATGAGAGAGTAGGTGTGACGAAGCTTTATGTCCAGATGGAACCTGAATTAGTGGAGAATTTGAAAGGAAGTCAGATGTGTTAATTTGTTGAAACTTCATTTAAGGTTAATGTAGGTAATAGCTTCATGTGTTCTTGCAGACAGCCATTGCAACAATACGTATTATGATTTCTAATATTTTATACTGCATCAGAAAACGCCTCTAAAATAAAAATTACAGTGAAAATTTATGGTAGCAAGCAAATGGATATTAAAGAAGCAAATAAAATTGAAATTTTTCAATGGAAATCCTGGGTGCTTCCTTCTCTCCCTCTACTCTTTGCTTTCCAGTAAATGTGTGGGGCTTGACATGGATCTTCAGTATATGCATTAAGCCCAAGATAAAAAGATTTTTTCCTGGGTGGTCTTCTATAGTCTGCGTGTCATGGGCAATTAAAAATGAAATATCTTTTGCCAACAGATTGTCACAAATGTAAAAAATACATTACATGGTTTCAAAAAACTGCATGGAAGAGCATTTGAAGATCCTTACATACAAGCTGAAAGGGCCAAACTTCCCTATGAACTTCAGAAGATGTCAAATGGCTCTGTAGGAGTAAAGGTGAGTTCAGAGATTTATGCGGAATTTTAATGGCAAAGATGAGCACGTTGGACCTTTATCCCTTAATTTTGTGTTTGAACTGGCTTAAGTTTTCCTTAAGAAAACTTTAAATATTTTCTTACTCATTTTGAAAAGAGGTATCGGGTGATAACCAGTACAGTAACACCTTTTATTTTTCACAGAACCTGCATTAGCGTGGCTTTGTTATATTTCTCATTTATCCTTGCAATTCATTGACTTGTTTAAATGTCCAGGAAAATCTAGAGTGCTTGCTTTGTATGAGATGCTCATGTCTTCTAGTAACCAAGTAGGGTCAAAAAAGGTATTACATTGTCTCCTGTACAGGTATGCTATGAATGTTTATACCTCTCATCCCATTGACCTTCAGTAAAATGGACTGTGTAATAAACTTTCATGTTAGAAGTTCCCCACAAAATAATTTTCAGCTGAACTGAACTGCTGTGATTTGCTGTAGGTAGTACAAATCCTTAGCATCAATTGATGGAGAGTTACTTGTGTCCAGAGTCTGGTGTTAAAGTTGGGTCTTAATGCTCAAAATTACAGAAAATGTTTGAGTTGCACATCTTTGAGAGAAGTTGAGATGGCTTATTACAGAACTGCAATTCTCGGTTTCAGGTGAGATACCTAGATGAGGAGAGACTGTTCGCAGTTGAACAGATTACAGGAATGTTATTGGCCAAACTTAAAGAGACTTCAGAAAGTGCTTTGAAGAAACCGGTGGCAGACTGTGTGATTTCAGTAAGTTGTAATCTACTTTTTGCAATTCTTTCTGTAGATAACTTTAAGCTAATATCATTTATGCCATGGCATGCTTGCAAGAGGCACTAGGAGTGGAGAGGAATCGCATCCCCCAAAAATGGGCCTTTATTATAGGTTTCTCCAAATGAGAATGCTTTTGTAATCATGCGTGAGAAGATGGAAATTTTGTTAAATCAGGAGCGTGTTTTCAGAAGAGAATTCTTCTCAAGCTGATCCAGACTGGCTAACCACAAGCGCTAGATAGAGTAATCCTGGTGACTGTAGTTTGTTATCAGTGGGAACTGCCTTACATGTAAGCTTGTTCTCCTCAGTTCTGAAGAACCTTCCCAAATTCACCTTAAATTTCTTTGTTGTTAGATAGTTAAAGGCTGTTGGGTTGTGGAGTAGTTGACCCCTGCCTGAACTTTATGGCTCTACTAGGGTCCTGCTGGCAATTTGAGAAGCCCAAACTACCTCCATTTGTTTCAAAAGCTCTTTATTTGGCTGGTTTACTTGTGTTGCTTTTTTTTTAGCCAGTGTTCTCACTCAGGGCAGGGGAGTGGGGAGTAGGAGGGTGGGGAGTTTGAAGATGAGGTTTTGTGCCTTATAGAAGGTCCTGAATGTCTCCTTTCCATGTTGTCTTTGTTTACTGCTTCACTTCTGCTCTTGCTTTGGTGAGAAGTCTGTGCATCAAGTATTGTGTTTATGGAAACTGGAAAGCTGGATACTTCAGCTGTTAGAAATCTGCTTTGATCTTTTTCCTTGCTTCCTTACGGTATACAAAGACACTTACAGAGAATGCCTCCCCCACAAAAAAGGATCCTTGGTAGTACACCACAGTGGTAGCTAAAGAAATACACTATGAAGGTAGTTCCCAGTCTTGAGCTTGACTGAAGCTGAAGATCTGCCAGCTGACTGCAGCCAGTTTCTAACTAGGCTCTGATTGTGCTTCAGCTATTTTTGGTGGAACTGAATATTGTAGCGTACTGGGAGCCGGTGCTGTCGTAGACGGGGTAACGGAAATCTGGATGGAGGTTTAGTTGTAACTAAACGTTAGTGCAGCACCAGGATTAGGTCCAGCCCCACCATAGTGCTTCTGCAGTAGCCTATTTTGGTGCTAGATATGAATATTTATTGTGCTGACTTTGTGCTGCACAAATGTTTTCAGAAACTGGTAATGATTTTAAGATCAAAGACTCCTGAGAAGAAGCAGAGAATATTTTCTGGGTTTTTTTGTTGCTTGGTTTAAAACAATACTGGCTGTTGCTTAGTTTTTGTTGTATTTTGAAAATTTAATCGAAATACGCACATAGCTGTTTTATTCAGACTGCCTTATTCATCTGAGGTTTGCTTATAACAGTTTCTTGTGGTATTGAAATATATAGGGTTGCTTAATGGGTAAGTCTGACTTGTCTGAATTAAAAGGTCCATATTTCATAATATCCTGTGTTACTATTTTTTGGAAACAGGTACCCAGTTTCTTCACTGATGCTGAGAGAAGGTCTGTAATGGCAGCTGCGCAGATTGCAGGATTGAATTGTCTGAAGCTGATGAATGAAACTACAGCAGGTAAAGGGTAGCAGCTTTTTTGTTGTTAGGGTGGTTTTTTTGTTTTCTTTTTGGGTGGGTCTGTGGGGTTTTTTTAACACCTATTCAGGCTATTGAATCTGTGAGGGTGATGACATACTCCTGTTACACAATTAGGAGCTTGGGAAAAAAGGGATCCAGGCTAGTACTGCCCAATCCAGCTCAGGAACTGGAAACACAGCGGCTGTTTTGGTGGAGTGTTGTTCAGCAATTAGGAGACATGATTAGAGTTGGTGTTTTACTCACTTGAATACAGTGCCACTCGAAAGTAGTTGCTCTGCTTCTGAAATAAAACTGGTCTCTGTGCTTACCTCTGCTGTGCCATGGAGCTATAGTGATGCAGCTAGGGTGTGGACATGACCTAAATTCTCAATTTTTATTTTAAGTAATAGTATAGTACAGTGTCATAGATCAGATGTAACCTGCCTTTGTCTGAAAGATTAAATATATTATTTGACTTTAGTGTCTAGTTGAGTCTTCTAATTTTCAGCTTACTGGAAAAAGAGTGTGCTGCAGTAAAATAATTCTCATGGAAGTATTAGACACATCTTTTTTGTCATAAGATAGTATTAATTTGAAGTGAAATATGTTAAAAGGGAAATGTTAAAATGTGTAATCCAAAGATTTTTCATATTTAACTACTTAATATGTATGCTTTAAAAGCTGCTTCTACACAAACTGCTTTTTTATGGTTCTTGTTCTGAAAGCACATTTGCTGATCATATTTAGAAACAACTTTAACTGTATTTCTCAAAATATTTAAGTCAAGTGTAAGTCTGTAGGATAATAACAGTTTAAACTTGTGGCAATGCTGTCAGCTGTAGCATTGGCACAACTGTTGTTTCTCTAATTTGTTTGCTGCCTTCCTCTGATGTTGGTGAATTCTAGGGTAAAGTATAGAAATATGTTAACACTTTATGGGAACTTAAGTTGGAGCCCTTTATAACTGGTTTTCTGTGCTTTTTTTTCTTGATTTAAATTCTCTTTGCTCATAGAAAGTTTCATCCAACTTTGCAAATGAGTGCGGGTATTGAAATCTTAGATGCATTTTATCTCTCGAGCATGCTTGAATTTTGCAGGGTTGACCTAAAAAGTACTGTAAGTAAGGCATTTAAAAGGAGAAGCGTAGCATGAGACTTAATCTGGGCAGTTGGACAAATTAGTGTTAACTTGGCTACCAGCTGAACTGAAATAAAGCTTTAACACTTTAGTAGTGTTCAGGCTTTGCTTGATATCTGTTTCCTACCTTGTCAGTGAAAAATATTTTTGAACAGGTGAACTTGCTTTGTGATGAGCTGTCTTATATATGAACAGTACTTCTTTAAGCAGAAGCAAAGATAAATAATCTGATACATCCTGAACCTAAAAATTGAAATCTATGATGGTGCATATGCTGCTGGCTTTAAGTTAGTGCTTTGAAGGTGCACAGTGTGCAGTTGTTGTTGGAAAGAGGTGTTAGATTATTCAGAATACTTAAATGTCAATTAGATGAATGATATTGAGGTAATTTGCTAGTATAACTCCAAAGCAAACAATAAGAAAATAGTGTGGCAACTTGTAGTGGTTTAAAGCTTCTGACCCTTTTGACGCTTATGTTCCATTTGAGCAAAGTAAAGGAGGTGTTTCAAAAAAGTAAACGCAAGTTGGGGGCGGGATTTGGCAGTCCTTCTAATACATACTTTAGAGTTACGTACAGCTTTCTCTTAACTTCTGTGGGCTGATGTTTTTCAGTTGCGTTAGCCTATGGAATATACAAGCAAGACCTGCCAGCCTTGGAAGAGAAGCCAAGAAACGTGGTGTTTGTAGATATGGGGCATTCTGCGTATCAGGTTTCAATCTGTGCTTTTAACAAGGGAAAACTGAAGGTAATCTTTTAAGTCCTACAGTAAAATCCTGTATTCCTGAAGTATATAAACGGACAGTACTCAGAATACTGTTCTGTGGATACTAAAACAAAACAAAACCTGTAGCAGATATTTTGGAAATGCTGACTACAAACTTTCTGTTGATTTTTTTTTTTTTTTGCTATTTCAGAAATGAAATTTCCCAAAGTGTATTTTTTAAAAAGACTTGACAATTAAGCATACTGCACAGTTTTTGTGCCATGTTTTATCACTGAAATATTTGTATATTCTGGTAGTCTCATAAGCATTGTAGTTTTGCAGCTGACTTATGGGAAATTGTTGAACTCCCTGAATTGCTCCATGACAATTCTCCCCACTGCCCCTGCTACATCCTTGATGGTTCAGAATCTAAATTCAGTAGGATGTGAAATAAAATTGAACAGTCTTTATTTTCTGGTTTGGAGATGTTTGTTCATGAGCTCCTGAAGGCTGAATGTTTTTGTAAACTTGTCTTTTTAGTAGCCAAATGTTGCCATCTGAAGTCATGTGAAAGGTGATAGTGAGTTTTCCTGTTGTAAAGGACACAAAATTTGTAGTAGCGTGACAAAACAGCTATCCTAGTGTGCTTTTTCTTTAGTGAGCTAATAAACTGAGTAGGGGCTGCTGCAGCATGATAGAAAATAGCATGGCAGGTGGGACAGTATTTTATTTGGGGAGGGTGGGAACTAAATAATTAAGGAGTCATCTTTTTAAGTTGTTCTGTCTGGCAACTGCAGAGAAGGAGGTGAGAAAAACTGCCAGTTTTCCCATGTCCAGTCTGTTCTTCAGGGTGTTAACTTAGAACACTAGTGCCTGTATGAAAGCCATCCCTCTATCTAAACAAACATCGTCTAGTAACTTTCAATCTTCATTCTTTCACTTCCGTGCAGGTCTTGGCTACTACCTTTGACCCTTTTGTAGGTGGCAGGAATTTTGATGAGGCTTTGGTAGACTACTTTTCTGAAGAGTTTAGGACAAAATACAAATTGAATGTAAAAGAGAATCCTCGAGCTCTGCTACGATTGTACCAGGAATGTGAAAAACTCAAAAAGCTTATGAGTGCAAATGCTTCTGACCTTCCACTCAATATTGAGTGCTTCATGAACGATCTTGATGTCTCCAGTAAGATGAACAGGTACTGTGCATTACTGTCACTGAAGGGTGATGGCGTGTGCTCTTGAAGCTGTCTTGTAATGTGAAGCACTTTCCCTGTTCCTGCAGGGCTCAGTTTGAGCAGCTGTGTGCTGGCCTTCTGTCCAGAGTGGAACCTCCTCTAAGAGCAGCCATGGATCAAGCTAGTAAGTAGGAGTTAATTCAGGTGCTACTTTTAGCTCAAGAACGTAACTAGTAATCCATTTATCCTAGATCTCTTTAATGATTATCTTTTTAATATATTTTTGTATTTATTAGAATTGCAAAGCTAAGTACTGAAAAGTTAAATGTAAGTTCCATTCGTATGCTTGTCATGTATGCATGATCCCGTTCCTGCCTCATGTAGTGCACATATCACTCTCCAGCCTTAGTTCATTGACCCTCATTCTCCCTATGTAATGGAAAAGGTTGGCGCTCTGAAAAGATTACTTATTTTAACAACACAAAGCAACCAAACCAAAGCCACGATGGGGAAAACTATTCTTCTTTAATGCAGCTGTCTGGCCAGCCTGTTCCATATGTAATACATATATGTCCTCACTGACCTGAGAATCTAGCAGTATATAACTGAAATAAAATACCTGAAGCATGTGCTAATAACAATTTTTTTCTTTTAATTTTTTTTTTTTTTGCCTAATGTAGTGTAAAGGAGAGAGGTGGACTTTCATGTGAAAAGATTTTACTCCTAATTCCAGCATCTTCAACTAAAAGAAAGGGGGGAATTTTTATCTTGTGTCTTGGCTAGACAGGAAGAGAGAACCTGAATAACTGCTGAGCAGAACTGTTCAAGGACTGACAGTTGTTCAGGATCATTTTATACACATACCTTGAATTCAGAATTAGAAAGATACCCTGCAAGCACAGTCTAATATTTATTATATCATTTTAGTTAAGGGTTTTGCTTTTCTTTATTAGCAACCAACATTAAACCAGGCATAAAATGAGGTGTCTTCGGGTTTCACTTTTGTTCTTGTCTGGGAGGGGTGAGGTATTGTCCAGTGTGCTGGGCTGCCAAAGAAAACCCAATTTCACACTGCTGAGTTTATGCACACCCGAAGGGGAATACACATGGACAGTGCATTTTAAATAACAGCTGCCCTCATTGATGCTTGGCTTCTGCAAACTTTGCAGCAAAACTTTGTAGCCTGCAGGAGGGACCAAGAGTTGGAGTAGGAGAGATCATGATAAATCTGGTTTTAACATCTTGTGGGCTATTGAATATATTCAGGGCTTGTTACAGTGTCTAGATAATAAGGTAATTCTTCCAGATGTATTTTTTTATTGTCCAGATAGAGCTCTTGGATATCTTGATGATAACTAAAGGCCATGCACTCTCTTTTCTAGAACTTCAGCGTGAAGATATCTACAGTATAGAAATAGTAGGTGGGGCTACTAGAATTCCAGCAGTCAAGGAACAGATCTCTAACTTTTTCTGTAAAGAGATAAGCACCACGCTAAATGCTGATGAAGCTGTCGCAAGAGGCTGTGCCTTGCAGGTATAGTTACTGAAACTAAACTCCAGTATTGCTTCTTTAACATCATGTACTAATGCAGTACAACTAACCATAAGCAAATGCTACTATAGCTGAAATAAGTGTAGAGTCTTACTTGTTCTTTGAACAGTTGATGACGGTGACTGTGTCAGAAATTACTGTATTGTATTTGTTAATTTGCTGCTGTGTCATATTGGGTCTTGTTAGAGACCTGTTAAATTTGATCACCCAAATTACACTGTTCCACTTCTCTGTGGTTATTTGGAAGCTTTGCTGGGTATCTACTGACAGTCACTGGGAGAGTGGCATCTGCCACCATTACGTCGGTTCCATCTTTCAGTTCGATTAACTTTCAACTAAGCATAGGAAGTTTTGGTTAAAAATTCTGTAATAAGCAGAACTTTTGTGCGACCCATACAATTGTAGCCTTTTTGCACTTTGTGCTTGCTATTTGACTACATGGATACAATAAAATTCTGGTCTTTGTTTTCTAGTGTGCAATTCTTTCCCCAGCTTTTAAAGTGCGTGAATTTTCCATCACAGATGTTGTTCCTTATTCTATAACGTTAAGATGGAAATCATCTTATGAAGAAGGAACAGGGTAAGTTGTGTGATGCCTACTAAAAAGTCTGTGCTTGTGTATATAAGCAAAAATTTTGGAACTATTGTATAGACTTTGAACAGGCCACCCACTTGAGCAGTTCTCATTTACTCTCATTGCATACCTCATGATTTCAGATTACTGCTTAATAAATGGAAATATATTTAATTAAAAAATGTTGCTCTCAAGTTGCTTAATTTTTAAGAAGTGTGAAAGAATGTGTAGTCCAGCTTTGAGACCTACAGGCCTTCTATCTGCAACTCTTGTCATAAACTGACTTGAAATTATTTAGCTGCTTAGTTGGCATGGCTGCTGATCATTAACGTACCTAGAATGTCATTATCCTTTATGTTTTGCTCACTAGTTTGACCTTACTTAATATTTTACTGCTTCAGGGAATGTGAAGTCTTCAGTAAGAACCACGCTGCTCCATTCTCAAAAGTAATTACTTTTCACAAGAAAGAACCTTTTGACCTGGAAGCTTACTATACCCATCCGCACGAAGTGCCTTATCCTGATTCCAGAATAGGTAAGGCCGTGTGAATAAAAAGCCCATACACAACTCCTGTTGATAATGGGAAAAGGGGTTTTCCTGTTACTTGCATATTTCTGATGTTATGGGAGAGGCTTAGTGCAGTTGTCTTGGTTTAGGTGCAGTGCTCCAACAGTATCAGTTGTATTAAACGGTATGAATATGTTTCCTGGTAGCTAATACTACCTTACTTGCATTCAGTAGTAGACTCCTCAGGGTCTTTAAACTATTCCACAATTTTATTTACTAATTTATGAATCAGGTACAAACTCAGTGCTACCTGTTTATCTATCTGTACAAGTGGTGTTTGCAGGAGGGAATGTTACCCTTCACATGCACGGTCTGCATCATTCTCATTGGAATTTCCAGCAAGTCGCAAAGTAATTAGCAGCCTCACTGCTTCCAGAAGCCTTGATAAGCACTGTTCATTCTCCAGAATGCGTAGGGTGTTCATGGTGCTAAATTAAGATGGAATCTTTTATCTCTCTGACATTTTGTCAGTGCAGAGTTTGAGTTATGGGGATGAAGGAAACTGGTTGAAATGAATCAGAGTAGTTTTTCTAGTGTGGTGGTTAGAGAAGGCAGTAGAGAAGTAGAACACCTAATTAGCTGGCATCTTATTAATTATTAGTTAGGTGATAATAATTGAGGAGCCAGGCTTTAGTTTATCTAGCTGCAGAATTGACCACTAAGTTGGAAGTTTCTTTAGTTCTTTAGTTCCTTTAGTTATTTTTCTCCTCTTTCACTATTTTTTTTTTTTTGGAACAAAATTAAAACCATCTTTGTTTTTTTTCAAGGGCGTTTCACTATTCAAAATGTTGGTCCCCAACACGATGGCGACAATTCCAAAGTGAAGGTTAAAGTGCGCGTCAATATTCATGGCCTTTTCAGCGTGGCTAATGCTTCTATAATAGAGAAGCAGAACGTAGAGGGAGATCACAATGATACACCTATGGACACTGAATCATCAAGTAAAAACCAAGGCAGAGATGATGAGCTGGTATGTAAACTTGTAAATATCTACACTCCTTGTAATTCTGACGACAGAGCCAATAATTAGAGATGAAATGATAGCGTATAGCTCTTGCAGTTAGTAGTTCTCCACCCTTAAATTACTTCTTCAGTTACGTAACACATTTCTTCATGTTTATGATTAGAGTACTGGTGACATGTGGCCCTAAGAAACCAGAAAATAACGTAAAACCAGATTCTAAAGAACCAAGCAGTTTTTTCATTGTTCTTTATCTTCTCTCTGCTAGTCTTAGCATTATCTAGTTGTTGGTATCAAATGGCAGCATATGTAATGAAATCTGTTGACAAATGAATTCTAAAAATTAGTTTTTCCTCAAGCACTGCATTTTCGTTGAATAAAAATGTATTTTTTTTTAAATATGGAAAACTTGTTCATCATAAACTTTCGTTCACTAAGGGCACTTGTTGTATTTCAGTACCAGTAGTTCTTAAAATCTGGCTTATAAGCCCATAGGGAAAAATTACTAGTAATAAATATGCAATGGCTTTGTCATTAAAACTTGAGAAATTAACAAAATTACGTTCTCTCATTCCAGTACAAGGAGGATCAGCTTTCTTGATAATGCACTGCAGACTGAAAGTAGATCACTGAGAGTCGTGAGGTGCGGCTGTTGGGTTGGACACCGCAGAGTTGAGGGCCGAGTGCCAGGGAGCGCTTTGCAGCTGGGAAGGGCATGCAGGCGGTGGCCTTGGCAGCCTGTCATTTTTTTGCTTGTGCCCTTCCATAGCTTGGGCTTTTGGTTATGTCACAGCTCACAGGGGAGAGAGACGACGGTGTAGAGAAAAAGAGGATAAAGCAGTGGGCAAGCTGCTGCTTCGCACTCCTGCTGTCTTCCGGAGATTACAAAGTGCTCAGCGAAGTGACCCGTCTCACAGGCCGTCACACGTACTGAGGGAGCCATTCCTTAGGGACAGCAGACACTTGGCAGCTTTATTTGAAGGAAAGGGTGAATGCTTTTTCCATCATTGTCTTTTAAAAATTATTCTTAACAGGTTTTCCCACTGTAGTACGAACATTCTACAGGAATTGGAGCAAGTGGTTATACAGTTAGCATTGCATAATTGGTATAAGCAACTTCTTAAATACTGTAGCGCTTCCCAGGAATCTGAGCATATTTGAGATGCCAAACACGATGCAGTTCCATGAGGACAAGTGGTCGGCATCTGACGTCTGTATACAAGTGAAAAAAGGTTGAAAGGGACGTTTGGTGTTTGCACGTGGAGGTTACTAAAAGGAGTACGCTGTGTTCGGTACAAGAGTAACCAGTTGCATCCTCAGGCTCGCAGTTTGTAGTAATTCCATTCATCTAACGCATCTTCTGTTTTACAATGGTGCTTGTCAGCAATTACCTCTCATTATTGAGGATGATACCCTCGACTCTGAGGAGGAGGTCTGTGGTGTATGTATGTGTTATTTCCCCCTTTCTAGCTTTTCTGTGTAGGCTAAACAGTTCCTTCTGGTTGTTGTCTTTTTCTGTGTGAACAGTGAGAACAGTAAATTACTATTTTTTTCACTCTGAAATGACAAAACTTGAATTTGGTAAAAGCAGTCTTCTTGTTTTCAACTGTTTTCATAAAAACTTACTGAACCAATGAACATAGGTAAACTGCAACAGACGCCCCTGTGCTCGCATTTGAAATCCTCAAATAACTTTTTCTTATATTTTGCCAAACTAACAGTAAATTATTTTACATGCATATGTAGTTTGTGAACCCGAGCACCTTAATTCCTTGTAATGGAAGTCATAGACCTTTCAGACCTCAGCTACAGCTCGTGAGTTTTTGGTGCTCTAGATGTCCCAATAATGGAGTCATCCTGCAAACTGTAGACTTAGCCATTACTATTTTACAAAATTTTTTGTAATGATGACAGAGAATTGTATTACTTGAATTAATTTAAGTGATCAGCACTGGTAATTAATCTGTCTTTAAGATCCTTAGATTGAGAATAAGGCATAGGTGAACTACAGATAAATTTAAGTGAAACTTACTAATTTGGAGTGGCAAGGAGCGAAGACAGTTGGTCATATGTTCCAAGAGGCTACTACAGAAACTAATTTTTGTAGTCCTGTGAGACACATACAGGTAACAATTATGGTGGTGATTAAATTAGTTCTGCTTTGGATTACAAACTTTGAGGTTCAGGTGAAAAATGATATGAGGTCAAAGTTCTGGCTGTTCCATAGAGAATCTGTTATTCCCTGTGTTAATGCTGTGTTTCTAGAATGTTCTGTGCTTACATTTTATAAGTATTTATTTCTAATTTAAAATGAAGGGAGTATTTACAAGGCTTAGTGTAATTTTGTAGTGGGGACAGATGGCAACTTCGCATTTCAAGGGGGACAGGCAGAGCAGAAGTTTCATCTAATTTGAGAAGATACAAGTAGAAGTACTATCTAAAAATGTTGAAACATGATGAATCAAAAATTCTTCAGTCCGTATATTGTCTGTGATCTACTGTAATTGACATCAGTCTTAAATGGTACAGCAAACCTTTGCATTCAGCTATGTAAATCTTTTTCTAGGATAAAATGCAGGTTGATCAAGATGAAGGTATTCAGAAAAGTCACGCTGAACAACAGAACCAAGCAGATGAGGAGACTGAAAATGCAGGAACTGAAACAAAAGTTCGTATTCAGTATTGATAAGGAAATGTAATGTTGCTTCCCTTCAGACTTTTTTTTTCCCCTTAGCATTCTCCAAGTCATAAATCATACTAGTTGCAAAACATGGGACTGTATTGAGGAGTACAGCTGTACTGAAATGGTTAAGCTAGGAATCCTACCTTGGCACTTTTCCAATTTCAGCAGTGTACAGTTAGGGCTTTGAAGTAAGTTTCTGTTATTTAATAGAGTTTTATAGTGAAGATGTAATCTAGAGGATCAGGGAGAAGAATATGCAGTGCCTTTAGCTTTTGAACAAGTTTCCTCAACAGCTCTCGATTATATTTGAAGAAAGTAAATTCCACTGGTTTAATTCAAAACTAAGGTAGTGGTGATTCCCAATAGCAGAGGAATAATTAGGTGCTTCATTTACATATGATTAATTTGTAGCTATTTCACTAGTTACTTTTGTCTCTCTTTTCTGAGCATAAATGTTAACTTTTCTATTCTTGAAAGATTCTTAGTAGTGTAAATCTTTTTATAGGCTGCTTCTGGAGACAGGCAAGATCATCCAGCCCAGCCAAAGGCTAAAGCGAAAGTTAAGAGTATTGACCTACCTATACAGGCAAGCCTCTACAGGCAACTGGGACAAGATCTTATTAATTGCTATATAGAAAATGAGGTAAGCAGCATAAACTAATGTCACTGTAAATAATTATCCAGAAAATATTTGCAACCATAAACTTGCCATCCAGTTTACGGTTCTTTTAGGGGTTTGTCCTTAATTGTAAGGAGTTTTATTTTGGTTGATTTTTCTAGTGAAATCACTTAGTTTTACTAGACTTCACTACTCTGTTGTTACCCAAAGTATCAATTCTGTTTTCATGCAGGAAATGCTTAGGATTGCCAGTGAAGGCTGTACAGGAATCTTAATTGTTAGTGACTGACCCGGTACTTGTCAGAAATAGCATTTACAGGGGTTCCGGTGCTTTAGAGAAGCTGTGTCTTTAGCTATATCGCATTTTTGCCCTTCAAGTTCTGCATGACCAGGAAGGGATAACCATATATAGTAAACTTGCCTTTTAGAGAGTTCTTGAAGATCCCACCAGCGTAATCTCCTATCTGAAATGTGGTCAGCCTGAGGAATAAAATATGAAATAATTTTTGTAGGGCAGAATGATTCCTAATGACTTCCAAATGAGAGTCAAGACTTATCTTAAATTCTAGTCCTGTCTGTGGTGGTCAGACCGTGAGTGGTGTCTCCTCCGTTTACACTGAAGCACTTGCCAGACAGCTTCCAAATACGAACTCTTTTTTCCCTCCCAGTTTCAGTTCTGCTTGCAGTGAAGAGGACTTAGGCAAAGGTGAAGGTATTAATCAGTACTTGTCAATTAGCAGGCTTCTGCAAACGTCTGATACAGCTTCAAGAGACTAATTATTCAGCTTGGCACTTGATAGACTTTTAGTTTTAAATAAGCTTTTCTCCCCTAGGGGAAGATGATGATGCAAGACAAGCTTGAGAAAGAAAGAAATGATGCTAAGAATGCTGTTGAAGAATACGTATATGACTTCAGAGACAAACTATGTGGAGTCTTTGAGAAATTCATCACTGAAGAAGTAAGACTTATTTATGTGTTTGAATGCTTGGAAAAAATTCCTTTGTATTTTTAAGTCTTGAGTAGGTTATGTGGAAGCTGCCAGGGGTCTCTTGGACTTGGGATGTGAAATAGACTAACTACACACAAGTTCTAACTACACTTACATGGCATTTGACATGCAACCATGCAGAGTTTTTTATTGTCTTGGAAATTTCTGAGTGGCAAAGAGGGATTCTGGATGCACACAGAAAAGAATCCTGTGAGGGTAGAAAAGCAAGACAGACCACCATGAGCTAGATGGCATGAGTGGGTAGGGAATGGAGTGTTTGTACCTTTGTGTGTAATGGTCTAATTTCATTAATTTAGACACATGATTCTTTGCCCACTTGAAAGTGTTTCCACCTTAGGATGCTGTTGAAATCCACATAAAAGCTGATGAGGAAAGCTGTACACTGGGCTTCTGCAAAAGTAGTATTTCATGAACACTTGTCATATAACCATTTCTGTCTAACAGCCATCAAAATCCAAGTGGCTGGTACACAGGCAAGCAGTTGTTCAAACAAGAAATGTCCAGGAGCACATTTAAGATCTGCCCTCTGGATTAGCTGATCATCAACCCAGCAGCGCAGTACAGGTGCCCTTCCCATATATACTCAAGGGTGTGAGGCTGCCTTTCTCATGCCAATTTTAAAACCACCTCTCAGACCTTTATTTTTAAATAATTAAAGATAAAAATCTTTATAAACAGCCAGTAGAGTCCATTAAAAGAACTTTAAACTTACAGCTGTATATAGTTATCCAAATTTGTCTGTTCTTTCATCCTGCTATCAGAGAACCTGTGAAGCAGAACTTGCCATGTAGAGATAATTTGCAAGAACGCTGAAGAGATGGATGTGATTTCTGACGAAGTCAATCCTGAAGCTGTGTCAGTCCCATAAACTTGACTTGCAAATCATGTTAGTAGGGCTGTCCTGTCTCTCTTAGCATTCGGTAAAATCTTGGCTTTGAAGACTGTTTGTTACTGTTTTCCTTCACTATCACTTAGAATACTTGAAACTGACGGAAGTTTTTTTGAGTGGAGTGGCTTCTTAGTGTTCTGATGGGAGAAGTCTCATTTGTCACGTTGTCTTTTCAACTAGAGTGTCCCTAACTTGCTTCACAGGATTCAAACAAACTGACCTTGATGTTGGAGGACACGGAAAACTGGCTTTATGAAGATGGAGAGGACCAGCCAAAACAAGTATACATGGATAAGCTTCAGGAATTAAGAGTAAGGTTTTAAATTACTTTATAGAAAAATCACGTGTGTGTTTGGTGGTAGGGGTATTTATATAAGCAGGTATGGCTAAGTAAGCACTATTTGTTGGAGTTTTTTCATGAGGATGTGTGTGTGCATACCCATACGTGAGTTGTGTAAATCCATGAACTTTAAGTAGAGACGTTCAGGTTACATCTGGATGTAGTTTAGTTATGAAATACAGTATTTAGAACTAGAAATGGTGGGTTTTTAAATGTTTGTTTCAATGCTGGTTGTGCTCCTAATTTGAAAACAGTCAAAATGCAGCAGATTGTCACTAGTGACAATAGAATTAATGGCTCTGGATATTTTCTGTTAGTTTTGTTAGAAACTGAAAAAGGCCTTTGAGTAGTTGAACTGCTCTCCCAGGTACTCATAATTACATTCCAGAACAGATGCTCTGGTTTTCCTTTTTTTCAGTGGTCTTCTATACCTGTGTCATAAAACTGTATCGTTGGTCTAATATCTAGGGATAAAGCCTGAAGAATGCTTTACCATGACCTTTCACTGTATCATTTGATTAGTAATGGCAAAAAAACATTAAATACGTCAGATTATAATTATCTTCTGGCAAGACATGAATTCTGATGAGTGACTACTCTGTTTGTAATACATTTTGAGTATGTCTCTAGCTCTCAGGCTCCCACTGTTTTCCCTCAACTTAGATTTCCTTTGCGGGCAGGATAACTGATAGAAATAGTAGTGTAGATCCTAGCAACTGCCGCCTTGCCTGGATACCAGTATTCGAGAGAAGGAAAAGCAGACAATGGATAAAAGTGAAGGTTTTCAGACAAAGTACTTCAAAATTAAACCATCCATGTAAATCCTGTCTTGTTTCTCTTCCAAATGCATTGTTCCAAATGCTTTTTTTGCTGAAATGCAAAATACTAAGCTTAATAAAAACAGGCACTACTCCTCTGTTTAAACTTTTGGATTTTGGTAGGGTTTCTTTGTGCATTAAAGCAAAATGCAGAGATGAAGCTCTTGAATGGGTGAGAAAAGTAGTTAGTGACAGCATTCTTTCCAATGCCATGTTTTATTCTTAGAGCAGACTAAAGTAAAATTGTGTTTTGTCAAGATCTTTGTGCTTATGTTTCCAGAAATTTGGACAGCCTATTCAGGAAAGATACATGGAACATGAAGAGAGACCAAAAGTTTTAAATGAACTGGGAAAGAAGATTCAGCTCCTTATGAAAGCAGTAGAAGCATTCAAAAACAAGGTAGAAGCAAATTATTGAGGCAATTATTGCGGGTTTCTGAGTCTGGCTGTAGAGTTGTGTTTGAAAAGACATCTTGCGTAATTACCTGTTAAACTGCTTGAAAATGGCTGTGGTGCCTCTGCTCTTGTAAACTTTTAAAACTGGTCTGGATTGTTTTTTCCTGAGAACATGAATTAAACATAGTCACGGTTTATGGTGATTTGTACCAGTTGAAATGAGTGTCTCAAGGTACGCTTGCTACCAGTGTTTCTGTAACTTAAAGGACTACCTGTTGGGGTTAGTTAAACTGCAGTGCATTTCAGGTGCTTTTTTTTCCTTTCAACTTCAGTACTAGCCTGTGTTTTGGCGGTGTTCTACAGTCATTCGTCACACTAAACGTTTGTTAAGACTATTTCTAGGGGTTTGCAGCAATGTTAACCTATTCATTACGTGTTCATGAAATTCTTAATTCAGTGAGGCACATACATGAATTGATACAAATTTCTCCCTCCTTAGGATGAAAAGTACGATCACCTAGATCCTGCTGAGATGGAAAAAGTTGAAAAATACATCAATGAAGCTATGAATTGGTTGAACAGCAAAATGAATGCCCAGAATAAACTAAGTCTAACTCAGGATCCAGTTGTCAAAGTGGCAGAAATCCTGACAAAATCTAAGGTAAAAAAAAAACACCATGGTTCATTTTGCAGTCTAACAAGCTTTTCTAACAAGATTTTGGTCTCTGTGTTGAGCTGGAATATTACACCTGCAGAGACTTGTAAAGCTATGAAAGGATGCATACAGAGGGAGTAACAGTTTTATCGATGTTCCACTCTGGCTCTTGATTTACCTCTGAATAACCCTTTGTAAAATAGCCTGAGTTACAGCAACAGGCTTGCTAGAAAAAGGGTTACCATATAGGCTTTTAACAGGTCAGAAGCTCTTAAGCTAAGGTTTTAAGTTTATAGACTTGATGGAATTGAAAAGTCTAGTCCTTGGAAACAGAGTTACAGGTCATCATGAACCTGAGATGAATTTGAGACGTTCTAATTGAAAGCAGTTACTGTGCCACCCAATGAACCTGCTCTCTCACTTGTGTTACAACTAGGAATTGGATAGCTTCTGTAACCCCATTATATACAAGCCCAAACCGAAGATAGAACCTCCCAACGACGGGCAGTCGAAAGCTAATGGTGAACACAATGGACCAGTGAACGGACAGAGCGGTACTGAAACAAAACCTGAACCAGCGAAGGACAATTCTCAGCAGAACAAACCGCCGGGAGAAATGGAAGTGGACTAAATCTTGCGTTTCTTTTACTTATTCAAAATAGTGCAAGTAACCACAGGGTCCATTCTTTTTGTCTGATACACACCTCAGATGTTCAGTTATTCTTAGCCAATCTTCTGTCATTTGTTGCTGAGTAGTTTTGAAAGTGTTTTCTATTAAGTACACCTCTGATGTTCATTTCCACTGATGCTGCTTACGTGGAGCTTTAGCCAAATGTAGATTGTATAAGTCAGTTGAAGCTTTCCCAATATATTTTATATCAAACATACAAAATTGATATATAAATGGCAACAATCTACCTTATTTAAAGCTTTTATTGTGGATAAACCTCAGCTCCTTTATTCAGGAAAGGATACTGTATTGCACTACTGATGCTCAAGTGTAGATCTAATTGCATCTTTATTTTGGAAAAATATTGGAATTGAAGTGGCAAACTTGTCACTTGAAGCACTGACCTTTTCTAGTTATTGTATTGTTATAATTTAAATATTAAAATAGACGTTAGCTGGCATACTAGTCCATCTTGTTGATGTACCATGAGAATTGTACTGTCTTTTTCATATAAACTGAATAATAATACAAGCTTAAAACATATTTTTAGATTCCCATACCACTAACAATAGGAGTTACAACATGCTAGCATAAAGGCTCAGCCATGTGCTGAAAGTAAGCAAATGGTCTCAGTGCCCATCGCTGTACATAACGTACTGTGCTTAATGATAGGACAATGCTCATGATAATAGTATGAAGGGGTAGGATATACAAGGACTGTTACGTTGCTTTCCCTTGAAAATGTCTTATTGCACATGTTACTGTTTCCACTTTTGTTCTGAAGGAAATCTACATTTTGATGACATCTTGTGCTGGGGAGGAGAAACAACAGAAATTGCGCTGCACAAGCTGGGGATATTAGCAATCTGATACTGCTTAAATGCTCTTTGTTGCTAACTTGAAAAAACTACGGAGAGTTTATTTAAGCCTTGGTACTCAGCATGTAAACCTTCTGGTCAAATATTTTAAAGAGCTTACAAACTGGATGTTATTACCCCAAAGATGGAATCTACTTGATGAACTTGTATAGCTTAACAATTATATTTGGTCATTTACTTGATACATCTTACACGTTGTCAAGGTCCAAGTACTTTCATATATTCTGAATGCTTCTGTCAGTCACTGAGGTACTGTAGCATTAGCTAGAGCAAGGCACTTTTAACTTGGAACAAATACTCTATTACCAAAACAGGAATGGGCTAATCCAGCTATGAAAAGTGGTTTCTTAGGCCAGCAGAAGAGATGGAGCTTAGTTACAGCGTAACACCTCAGTGACTTGAACTCCACTGCAGAAATATATGTAGATGTTGAGGTGTTAATTGGGCATTGTTCCAAGCTTGTTGCTGTTGTAAACAAGTGAAGGGTCCTGCTTTTGTTTCTGGCGTTGGCAGCTGTTTTACCTCCAGCTGTGCCCTTCCATGTTCACCACTGGCCATGCTAGAAGAGTAGGCCAGGACTCAAGCTAGAGTTGGTAGAGGTGAGCTCTACTCTGAACTCTCTTCACAGAAAAAGGAAGCACCATTTACAGCTGTATATAAATCTGCTAAACTGGTTCAGGTGCTGGAATTATATCTTCATGACTTGATGTCAAGTAACTGAGATGCAGATGCACGTACTACTGTTCCTCTTCTACGCAGTCGTGGATTGTCACCCTGAGTTTACATGACAGCCCTTGAGCAAAGAGTGACCTTGACGACAGCTGTAGCTGCTCTGCATCCTCAGCCTTGAGTTGTGCCAGCGCAGTCGCACATTTTTGGTGCTGAGGTGGTGACTGTACTTCATTGTCAGTTGTCTGAAGTTTAAGCTAGTATTTCGTGGCTGAACTAGCTTTTGTCCTCTAGGGTTTAACTTCATGAATATCTTCATGGCTTTACCACAGCAGTGTAATAAGCAGCATTCTTAAGTGTTGGCTTCCTAAAGCCCATCTACACATTATTTTGCCTAGCAGACTGCCCAGTACCTGGCAGAAGAGCTCTGTGGCAGTCTCCAGTGTAAGCTCTCTGGGAGCTAAAAGGCCGTGTGTTAAAGTCGTCTACTCATGGTCATCAGACACTTAATACTACATTACAGATGTTTGAGGCAATTCTTACGCATAAAGGCTGGAATAAACAAGCTTAAAAGCTAACATGGTTAAGAAGCAATTGTTGTACTAAGGTTTTCTTCCTAGAATCGGGGGTTGTTTGCTGTGCATCTGCTCTGTCTCTAGATCCCCAGTGAAGGGGGGTGCTACCCACAGACTGTCGATAGTGACTAGTTGCTGATGTGCATGTTAAGAATCCCATCTGGAAGGGCAAAATTGTTCTTTCCACAGTGAGTTTTGTATTAACATGTGAACACATGACTTGTTAATAACGTGTATCTGTTTTCTGTTACAAAGGAAGTTGTACCAGGGCCCATATTTAAGGTTCTCAAGTAAAGAACGCCATGCAGAACTTGAAGATGAGGTTTTGTGTGTCAGACTCCACAAGCGAGTTACCCTGTGGCTACCCTGACGGCACCAAAATGAGTATCTTGAAACATTAAAATAACAAGTTTTGTTAGGGAACCAAGAGTAGAATGCTATGCTGCCCTTTTTTTTTTTTTTTGTATTTTAGAGGCAGATATTTGGTGTGTCTTATTTGCAACTTTCCACTGAGGGCAAGATTTCTAGTATTTGATGAAAATGCTCCTTCCATCCCACAAAAAGAGAAAAACAGGAAGCAACGTTATCTTTGCAAAGGCAGCAGACTTTTGGGGTTGTGTTTTTGGGGACCTTTTTGGTTTTAAAAAAACCCAAACTTTTGTTAACCACAGTCTGCAACTTTATGTAAAATATTTATTTTACCAGTAACATCTTTATTCTTTCCGTTAAAGAGGGCTGATTCTCTTCTGGCTTGGCTACTAATGGGCTTGCTCAAGAAAGGGCTTTAAAATTTACTTTACTGTCGTAAGTTGTGACTAGCTGTTCTACAACTGATTCAAGGCTTCCTTTCCATATCTTTTATTATAGTAGTTTTGACTTCAAGATTTTCTTTGAACTTCATTCATATGTGAGATAAACAGATGTTTAACCACCCCTTTAACTTAAACTTCTATACTCTTCTTTCTTTAAACTGACAAGAGTGCTACATCATAAAATAACCCAGGACAGCTGCCTTGTTTGGTCTGAATTTGAATGTGTGTCTGAATTTGAATGAAGAATCCTCTCCCTTCTTTGCTTCTGGCAGCATCCTTTGAAGATTTCAGTACTGCCTTTGGGGTATGCTTGCAAAACTTAGCTTGGGCAGTTGGATCCTGACTCCTCCTTCACAGGACAACTTGGAGGAATTAGAGGGAAGGTGCCCTTGTCTCTCAGTCTCTCCGTGTGGCAGCAATGGAGGGGAACTGCAGTTCCTGCTGTGCGACTCCTGAAGCTCCGCACAGCACAGGCTGTACCCACGGTGTTGTCTGTGTGGTGTGGGCAGCCAGAGGCTACCTACCGCGGCTGTGGTGTGCAGCATCAAGGTTTTGGCTCTTCCACTTAAAGGTGAAATTTGTTGAGCATCCAGTCTGTTTGTTGATAAAGATTCTTTTATACTTTTGGCGTTTGAAATTATTTACTGTTGGGCTTGTTTTGTTTGTTTCGTTTTGTTTTTGAAACCTCTCCGTGTGCTGAATTTCAGCCTCAGCTATGGATGCTTCCTGTTAACTAAAGGTTCTCAAATCTACCATGTTTAAATGGGAGCTTTCCCTGGAAGGATTTTATTTAAGCACAATTTCAGGAAACTGGCAAGGAGCTGGCAGGAAGACTTTCCTTCCTAACTGGTTTTTGGCACTAGTGTGAGAACTTTACAGCCTTAACAGACCTTGGGATCTTTAAACTTCAGTGCTCTGGTTATCCATGCCTTTCAGTTAACTGACACCAGCTTTTAAAAACATGAACCCATTTTATAAATACACTGCATTTGCTGGTTCAAAACAGCCAAGTGCTGTGAGAAAAAAACTAAATTCAGTTCCTATAGATATGAGTGTCATGATGAAGCTCATTCCTCAAAATAGGACCTATTTTCATGTTACCACATTGTAATACTTGAGTGTGCTTACCTCTGTGAGCCTTTCTAAACTGAAGCCCAGATGCCCAAACTTCAGTTGGGGGTCAGTATAGTGCCCACACACTCTAAGGCTACTTACATTAGCTACCCCGAGTTGTGAGTTTAACTGGAGGGAAGAGTGTCATGTTGCCTCTCACAGGTGTTTTGTTATGCTAACTTTCTGTGCCTTTTAGGCACCAGAAGATAGAATCTCTCTTGTGAAAAGAGGCAGTAAAAACATGTTGCTTAACAAAAGGCAGTTAATGCCTCATAAATTTTATTTTCAATTCCCAAGATAATATTTGGAATATAAATACAAACTCATAGTAGCCAGAGAAAATGTGTGGTGGTGGCAGACTCTTAGCTGAATTCTCCAGTTCTTGAGAGCTGAAATTTGAAGACTTCAATCGCTTATTACATATGTAAATGATAATGAAAACAGCTTAACGTCACTGTTAACACTGCAGAATATCGAACTGGGAATGTGCTTATGTGACTTACCTGATGCAGATATTAAACTCTGTTTTCCATCTTCCTGGTCAGAAGGAAACACATCAAGCAAGGAAAAGCAGGTATCGCTGCAATGTGATCTGTGAAGAATTGTTTTAAACAAAAATGCAATTTAGACCTACACCCACCGGCCACCTCTACCAAGTGCTGAAATGGTTAAATTAATAAAAAAAGGTGGTAGTCCTTGAATGTTGCATATAGTTGGTAAAGTTCATCTACATAGTCTAAACATATCTCTACAGGATGGGGGGGAGGGAAGAGATGGGAGTGTTAGAAGTTGAAGCAGTGTTTTAAGTATGCAAAATGTTTACTATGTATGTAAATGGGATTCTTATTAGTGACAGATCATGTGCAAATTGACAATATTTCAATTTATTTTTGAATGGCAATATAGATTGTCGAGGTTGTGTATAATTATAATAAATATATAAACAGCTACTTGAACCATAAATGACCACCCAAGACCTCATTTTTACATCAGTGTTCTTAAATACAGCTTTGTCTGATGTTATGGATTGATACAATGTGTGTGTTAGTCCAAAAGACCACATGTAAGAATTGGTTATTTCTGGTGGCTCACCCTGTCCTGGTTGCTTAGTCAGGTGTGGTTCCTCCTGCACTTTCTGTCCCAGTCAGCTGCAGACTCTTCTACTAACAACTACCTGTGGTGCCGGGACTCTTCTTTGCAGCCCCGCCATAGTACTGCTTTGCCTCGGGGCAGCTTTTCACATCGGCAGTCCCATTTGTGCATTTGGATGGGCACAAACTGGCACATTTCAAGCGAGTCATCTCACGAGTGATTTGGTGCAACATACAGGGAAACTACATTGAACTTGTTTGTATCTTGAACCTCATGGGGAGGTTGATGGCTTTCGGTAATTGTTGGCTCTCAGAAGATCCT